TGCCCTCTGCTCGCACTGACACCTGCCCCTTGTAACTCCTTTTTGACCGCATGCTCAGAGGCTGGTGGCTCCTGTTGTCCTCTAGCCACTGAGAGGTAGGGGACAGAGATGACAACCACCTCAGGCTGGGGCTCCTTGGTCTGACATTTTCTGGGAGCTAACCACAGGGCACAGTCCTACATTGGGCCTGCCCTCTGGGTTCCCCGTCCCAGGAATGAAGTTCAGAGGGAAGCTCACCCGGGTGCCCCAGCACTCACTAGCTCTGGTGTCCTCCACCTCCAGGCTGCTGAACGAGAGTGACAAGCGCCCCTTCATTGAGGAGGCTGAAAGGCTCCGCATGCAACATAAGAAGGACCATCCCGACTACAAGTACCAACCTCGGCGGCGGAAGAATGGGAAGGCAGCCCAGGGGGAGGCAGAATGCCCAGGCGGGGAGGCTGAGCAAGGAGGGGCTGCTGCCATCCAGGCCCACTACAAGAGTGCCCACCTGGATCATCGACACCCGGAAGAAGGCTCCCCCATTTCAGACGGGAACCCAGAGCACCCCTCAGGTGAGTGCTGGGTCGGGAGCTACCAGTGTGCTGTTGGCAGAGCTGCAGTGGGGCTGGGAGAAGCCTGAGCTGAGATCTGGGAAGGGCTGGCCAGGGGTGCAGCTCCTCCAGCTGGAGGACAGAACCTGGAGGCAACTCAGTGGGGATTCTGGTGCTTTTGAGAAACGATTGGTCAAAAGCCAAAAACCAAACAACAAACAAACAAAAAAGACGGTGGTGGTACCTCTAATCGAGGCAGAGGCAGGTGGGTCTCTGAGTTCAAGGCCAGCCTAGTCTACAGAGTGAGTTCCAAGGCTATGCAGAGAAACCCTGTCTGGAGAAACCAGAGGTAAGAAGCAGGCAGGGTGAGTGATCAAACATGGGTGGAGAGGAAACCACTGCCTCTTCCGGCTCCTGCCCTGGGGTGATGCTGAGCACATGCCACAGAGCGTGCCAGGCTGCCTTGCATATGTGGATCCCTTCCACCAGCCAGTCAGCCTGAAATGCTGTGGTGAGGTGAGCAACTCCTCACCAGCGTCCTGCAGATGAGGAGACAGGAAAAAGAGCCTGCTCCTCAGCTGAGGTCTGAGCCCAGGTGATGGGACTCTGTGGGCGATGTTTTGCTTGCTTGCGTTCCTCATGAGCAGAGCGCCAGTGTGCCGCGCAGGAAGTGCTCACAGAGTAGAGAGCTGCTCTGGCTAAGGCCTCATTGTGTCAGGTACCAGGAGCCACCAGGAGAAGCCCACGGTCCCTGGCTTAGGAGCCTACAGTCTAGAGGAGGAGTAGGGATGGAGTAGAATGGAGTGAATAACGTATAGGAAGGAACTAGCATAGGAAGAGCCTCTTTGAGACTCAGGCGGCAGCATCTATCTGTCCAAGAATGATCCAACTCCAGGCTGTAATCACAGCAGGCTCCCCAAGATGCAGTACCTAAGCTCCCTGGTCTCATCTCCCCAAGATACGGTACCTACGCTCCCTGGTCTCATCTCCTCTTTACTGACAAACTGCTTAAAGGAAGATTGAGGGTTTTCCCGGGGTCACACAGTGAATGGCAGAGCCAGAATTCAAGCCTTGGTAGGTCTCCTGAAGTCCGCAGCCCTTGGCTAATGAAGGACTTGGCACTGCCTCCAGTGTGACGGCTGAGGTGCAATCTGCCCCGGCAGCTGCTGGCCTTACAACGCTGTGCTGTGGATTTGCTCCTCTGTGCTGGGATGCTCGGTCCAGTCACCTTCCTTCCATGTGATCTCATCATCTGAGCCCCTTTGAGACTCCCCCAAATCCCTGAGACAGCAGGTGGCTTCCTTCTCTCACTCCCTCAGTCCTTTGCATGAGCCTTCACACAGGGCCCACTGATCTAGAACCCTGTGGGGGCTCTTCTCTCTCCGTGGCTGCAAGCTTTTGGAGACAGGGCCTGATTTTATTTCCATTTCTTCCTAGGATCTGGTACACCTGGCCTGGCACTTAGCAGTGCCCTGAGCATTTGCTGAGATGTGTGGATGAGAAAGTTAACAGACAAAGCCAAGGGGGCAGCAGGGCAGGGAGTAGCCAGGCTTGAGGCCACAGTGCTGCTGAGGTAGTAAGAGGTAACAGTCCAAAGTAGACAGGGAAAGTGACCAGCAGATATCAAGGGTGCTCTGAAGAGCAGGCAGGGCCCAGGACGATAGCCCAGCATGACCCAGTAGACTCCGCCGTTAGGCAGCATGTCTGGTCTTAGTGGTCAGCATCCTGTTGCCTGGAGATGAGCCACAAGGCCTTCTAGGGTCCATTTGCCTCTAACCTGCTCATTATCTCTCCTCTCTCTCTTTTTCTCTCTCTCTCTTTCTCTCATCCAGGCCAGAGCCATGGCCCTCCCACCCCTCCAACCACCCCAAAGACAGAGCTGCAGTCCGGCAAGGCAGACCCCAAAAGGGATGGGCGCTCCCTGGGGGAGGGCGGGAAGCCCCACATCGACTTCGGCAACGTGGACATCGGAGAGATCAGTCACGAGGTAATGTCCAACATGGAGACCTTTGATGTGACTGAGCTGGACCAATACCTGCCACCCAATGGGCACCCAGGCCATGTGGGTAGCTACTCAGCAGCTGGCTACGGGCTGGGCAGTGCCCTGGCTGTGGCCAGTGGACACTCTGCCTGGATCTCCAAGCCACCAGGTGTGGCTCTGCCCACAGTCTCACCCCCTGGTGTGGATGCCAAAGCCCAGGTGAAGACAGAGACCACAGGCCCCCAGGGACCCCCACACTACACTGACCAGCCGTCAACTTCCCAGATCGCCTACACCTCCCTCAGTCTGCCCCACTACGGCTCCGCCTTCCCCTCCATCTCACGCCCCCAGTTCGACTATTCTGACCATCAGCCCTCAGGACCCTATTACGGCCATGCAGGTCAGGCCTCTGGCCTCTACTCAGCCTTTTCCTACATGGGGCCTTCTCAACGGCCCCTCTATACGGCCATCTCTGACCCCAGCCCCTCGGGGCCTCAGTCCCACAGTCCCACACACTGGGAGCAGCCGGTATATACGACTCTGTCCCGACCTTAGAGGGGGCCCTGCCACCACCAGTCCCCACCTTCCCCCAGCCTGTGTGCCCTGCTCCCCATCAGCCTCAGGCCTGGCAGGGGCAGTAGGGGAGGCTGAGAGGCCGACAGCAGCTGGGAGGTTTCTGCCAGCTCCTGCCCTGATGCCCTCCACGTACCCCAGCTCGGGAGGCCCAGCCCTGACTGAGCTGGCAGGGGAGGACTTGATGGCTGCCCCAGACTGAGGGTGAGGGACCACCTGCCCCTAGAAATGACCCTCTACCCCAGGACCCGAGAAGTCCTGCTCACTCCTTCAGGGAGGTCGGAAGCATTAGGGTGGGAGGCCTCACTCCCGTTTCCTCCTTAGAAAGCAAGGGGCTCAGTGGCCCAAGCACCGCTATGTCACAGTGCCTGAGAGACAGGCTGCCAGGGACCTGCCTCAAAGTCTAGAGCTGGCTGTCCTGTCCTGAGGACTCATTGGGGACAGCTCTGAACAGCTTTGTGGGGCGTAGGCTGGGATAGTCCCTGGAAGCTCCTGTCTTTTCAATGCCCCCCACACCTGGACACAGGAAGGAACTGGCAGAGGTCCCCAGATTCAATTCTGTGTTAATAACCTTGTCTATCTGAGGAGAGCCCCACGTTCTTCCCCACCACCTCCCACACCTCAAGGCCCACCCCAAGTGAGGAGGCAGGGGCTCCCAGAAAGCCAGAGGCCACTCAGCCGGTCTTCCTCTCGCCTCCTGAGTGTCAGCCTCAAGTCCCCAGGCTCAGAGTTAGCGCTGCACGGGCCCTAGTCCCAGAGCCCAGCACCCAGGCTGCTGGCAGCAGGCTGGACACTAAACCCCTGCGTGTACATTCCACCCTTGCCCTGTGCCCTTCGCTCCAGCGATACCTTAATAAAGAACGTAGCTCTGTCTCCCCAGTCCACATGTAACACATCGCTGCCCCTTATTTATCTGCATAGTCGCCATGCTCCCGCCCCTCCTCTAGCTACCCCAGTCCCCATTAACTTGCATTAAGCACTCCGAGTAATAAAATCAAAACTTCCGGTCACCTGCTTGGTGGCCTGACCTGGCCTGTCTCTTGGTCTCTTACCCCCATACCTGTGCTTCTTCAAAGGTTTTCTGGGAGCAGCCAGAAGAGTGCAAAGGTGAGCGATTCCTAGGGTCTTTCTCCCCTGACCTGGGGATGGTGGGTCCATAGAATGTGTGGATGGACCTTCTGTGGCCACACTCTCCACCTACCGCCTCCCCCAGCGCACAGACACACACAGACACACAGACACACACACACACACACACACACACACACACACGAGAGAGAGAGAGAGAGAGAGAGAGGGGGGGGGGGGGGGGGGGGGGGGGGGGGGGGGGGGGGGAGGAGAGAGGAGAGAGGAGAGAGCCCACGCTATCACAGCAGCAGGTTTGTCTAAGCCAAGCAGCTCCATCCATTTCTGTGTGTCCCCGCCCCCCAAGAGTTTGTCCTCAGTAGTGGCTGTGACCTATGCCACTGCCAAGCTCACCTCACCAAGGTCAAGGGGAATCTCTACCAAGTTGCTGACAAGAAGTGCCAACGGCCACACATCTCACAGCAGCAAAGCTCCTAGTGTGCCCCCAGTTGCTGGCTTTGCCAAGACATACGTAAGGACGCACATACATCCATTAGGCCTCTGAGGGAGTGGCTCCCGTTGCCTGATGCTTTGGGAAGCTGGTGCCCTCCCGACAGCACGTGCCCTGAACTACTCTCCAAGGTCTACTGTTCCACATCATCCCCCCATCTCCATCAGTCCCTGAGTGGGTGGGTACCGGGAACACGACCCACCATTCCATCTAGACACTGTAACCAGTAAGCTCTTTTGGTCACCTCCCCCAAACCGCTGGCTCCTTTGAAGCCTGGTATATGAAACCCTCGCTCTTTTTAACAATATCAAATGCAGCATCAGACCACCCAAACTACATGGAAGCTGTATTTTTTTATTGGGCTTTATTAGATCTTTACCTGTTGGACGACATGACCCGTTGCTCCACCTTTATTAAATCTTGGGGCCTAGCTTCCCCTGAGCTAAGTCTGGGCATATGCATCTACATACTTGATTATCTTCACTGAAGGCACTAGGCTGGGGGCCTGCATGTGCCCGAGTGCCCCTCCTCATCAGTGCTCTTCCTCATAGACTACCTTCTTCACCCATCGCAGGTGACAGGAGACTGCCGATTCCCTGGGGAAAACAAGGGCTAGTGATTGGGGCATTCCCTACATCTACCAGACCAGGAACCATAGACAAACTTCACTTGCCCCTCTACTGAAAAGCAGGACATTTGTCCACTTCCGGTCTACATACTGCATCTGCTCTGATGGGGAACTGTAGACAAGCTGGCAAGATGGAGGGGCCCATGGGGGGCGGCTGTTAGCTCATGAGGTTGATCATCCAATCACCACTGGTGCAGGTAGCAGGGAAATGGCCATGGGGGAAGGCAAGTGGAAGCCAGCGTTAGTGGGCTGTCCACATCCCTTGGAAGAGTTTGGATGCGCTCGGGCACAGCAGAGGCTCCAGAGCCAGGTGTTTCTTTAAATGGCTGGGGAGATGACCTTAAACCTAAGGAGACAGATTTGACAATGCAGGCAAGTGACAGGCCCAGCCAGTTGAATGAGGTGCTTCCCAAGAGCAGAATTAAAGGGGAAGATGAGAGGGAAAGCACCCTCTTCTGTCTCCTTACACCCTATCCCCTAAGGGTTAACGCCCCCTCCTACCCAAGCTCCATCTCCCTTTAATCACATCTGATACTGAGCAGCCCAGCAGGGAACAAAGGCACCATTTAGAGAAATGGGCCAAGAGAGTGACCCCGCACTCTGGGGTGGCTGCCTGGATGCCGGCACAAAGGCGGCATTTCAGGGCTGAAATTTCAGCACCCAGCTTGATTAAAGGATTCCAGAGGCTTGGAGGAGGGTGGTAGGGTGCGAAGTCTGTGACTCCCAGAATTAACCACCATCCAAAGCAGCAAGCACCCTCCTACTCCTGTGCCACGCATCCTTCCCACCCTGACCAGGGTGCCCAGTCCCATGTGGCATGCCATGACTCCTTGGAGTTGCAGTGGACCAGAGGTCTTCCTTTTAATTATGCCAGAGTCCATGCCTTCTTTTCTAAAACAAATTCTTAGACAAGTCTCACCTAGCCCAGGCTGACCTTGAACTCACTCAGCAAGCCTCCTGCCTCCACCGTCCTGATCCCTAGCTCCACACACATCTCTGCCACAGGATGTGAAGGGGTGGGAAGTGGGACGCACAGAAGAGGGACCCTTGCGAATGAGCTCAGGCTGAACCCAAGAGCAAGCACATCATCCTAGCTCAAGTCTGAGAAGCAGAGGCACAAGGTGGCAGAGCAAAGAGATGGCCATGGAGGGCACTATGTGAACTGGCCCGGGACAGAGCTGGACAGGTGCTTGGTTGTTGTTCCAGTTGCTGACTTGCCCAACAGGGCTCTGCCTGGGGACAGTGGGGGAATCACTGCACCCCCACACTTCCTGCTAGGGCACCACTCCTGAAAGGGGATCTGAGTCCTTGATAAGAGCTCCAGGCAGGTCCCTAGGAACAATGGCTGGCTTGATGAGACCTGCTCTGTGATACTCCTGAGAAGGGAGAAGCCCCTGCAGCCAGTCCCCACTGGAAAGGAAATTGGGGGTTTCCATGGCAACCAGCTCCCTGGGCACAAAGACTCATCTGTCTGCTGAGAAGGCAGCTGAGGTGTCCCCCTGCAGCAGCTTTCACTCTGGTGCATGGGGAGATAGAGGGAGGGATGGGAGGACCCACGGGGTCAAGTCCCTGGTGCTTCAGAAAGAGCTAACAGTCACAGGGCCACCTCGATGTGGGCCCGCTCTCTGCAGCAGGTGGCAGCACTGCAGACAGCAGGCGCAGAGGGGTAGGAAGGGCAAAGTTTATTATTTACATGTATAAAATGGGCATAGAAATGGCGCCCGGCACAGTCCAACAGCGCTGCTCAGTCGGTGATGATGAGCTCGTCCACACCCCAGTCTTCATAGCTCCCATCCGGCAGGTAACGGCGAATGATGATTGGGATCTTCCGGGCCCTGTGGTGGGGAAGTCACAGGACATGAGGGCTGGTGCCCTGGCTCTGCAGCACGGAACAGGAGGGAGAAGCACGTGTCACAGAAACCCCCTCCCTCATCTCGGGGGCTTGACTATGAACGAGCCAGAGATCTACAGGATCAAACACCAGCTTCCACAGACGTAGAAGCCGAGAGTTGCTGCTGCGCTCTGGAGGAAGGACCCCTGTCTGAGGGACTTACTTGAGCTCCTTCATGGCAATGAGCAATGGGTCTGTCTCTCCCTCCAGCTCCACCATCACAGGGGCACACATCCTGCAGGGACAGACATGGGTTGGAGAGACAAGAAACAAGGCTCAGAGAAGGTGACTATGGTGTCCTGCTCCTCATCCAGCAAGGTCACCTAGGCAGGCAGCTGTGGTGGTGGAAGTATACAGGGAGCTGCCACTAAGCAGAGAAGACCAGCAGACCGGATTAAATTGTGCCTCCAAAACAAGCCACTAGATTTCTGTCCACATCCCAATGGTCTCGTTTATTTATTTATTTTTAAATATTTATTTATTTATTATGTATACAGTATTCTGTCTGTGTGTATGTCTGCAGGCCAGAAGAGGGCACCAGACCTCATTATAGATGGTTGTGAGCCACCATGTGGTTGCTGGAAATTGAACTCAGGACCTTTGGAAGAGCAGGCAATGCTCTTAACCTCTGAGCCATCTCTCCAGCTCCCAATGGTCTCATTTAAAAATGAAGATAATCCCTGTCTCACTGGGAAAACTGAAGACTAGAAGACTCCACGCCACTCACTGTTCTCCACCTTGACATTCTCTGTTCATTTGAGGGGAGTCCCACTTTGACTTTTTTCTGGTGAGGAAACTGAGGTACAGAAAGGCGAGTAACCTACTCAAGGTTCAAACACACACAGGCAGAGAGGCAGAGTCTAGATGTGTTCCTAACCACTGTGCTATGACGTGTCCTATGAAACACACTAAATTAATCTAACTNAGATGGTTGTGAGCCACCATGTGGTTGCTGGAAATTGAACTCAGGACCTTTGGAAGAGCAGGCAATGCTCTTAACCTCTGAGCCATCTCTCCAGCTCCCAATGGTCTCATTTAAAAATGAAGATAATCCCTGTCTCACTGGGAAAACTGAAGACTAGAAGACTCCACGCCACTCACTGTTCTCCACCTTGACATTCTCTGTTCATTTGAGGGGAGTCCCACTTTGACTTTTTTCTGGTGAGGAAACTGAGGTACAGAAAGGCGAGTAACCTACTCAAGGTTCAAACACACACAGGCAGAGAGGCAGAGTCTAGATGTGTTCCTAACCACTGTGCTATGACGTGTCCTATGAAACACACTAAATTAATCTAACTGTAATGCTCCATCAGAAGAGGCCCTTCATTTTTACCACATCAGTCAAACCCACAGCCCTTCACAGCAACAACCCCAGAAGGGTCACATTCTCCCAGCCTGGCCCCCATCCACACACCCAAAACAAACTTTTATGCCTCCCCGCTCCCGTGTTAAGTGTCCCCTACATTCTTAAGTTAGCATGATGATAGTATCAGACAGAGGAGGGGCCTTTGTCCTGAGGGTGGGACCACTGTGAAGGCTTTATAAGAGGAAGAGAAACCCAAGCCAGCTTGCTTGGTCTCACCATGTGACCCTCTACCATGCTATGACGCAGCTTGAAGCCTCGTCAGGCACAGATGTCATGTTCTTAGACCTTCCAACCCCCAGAACTGTGAGCCAAACGTACGGAGCGAGGAACCTTCTCCAAGGATTCTGTCACAGCCACAGAAAAGAAGCTGAGGCACCTGTCCATTCTGCACCATCTCTCCACAGCCTGAGGGCTCAGGTGTCCCCACTCCGGGAATGACAGTCTTCACTGCCTGTGAGTTTACATGTGCCATTCATGGCACCAAAGACACCAGACTACTGTCCACAGCAAACCATGAGCTGCTGGTGGCCCAGGACCACACATGGCCACTGTGAGGGCCCATTCCCCAGCCAATGCTTGGCCCAAGCAGGGGCCCCAACACTAAACAAGGGGATGGCACCTCCAGTTCTGTGCCCTAAGAACAACTCCCCTGATCACCCTGGACAGGCTTATACCTATAAATCCAGGGCCCACGTGTAGCAAGCAGAGTGGTGTCACACCTGATGGAGATGTATAATCAACTCCTGAGATGGCTAAGGCCTGACCTATGCTATGATCACGCAATGATTATCAGCTGCCTGCATATGCGTGGGCCTATGGGCAGTGCCCACCTGGCAGTTCGGGGTTGGCAGCCCATGCCTACTTAAGGGCTGGGAGAGGGTTTGCCCAGAGAGAGAGAGGGTAAAGAGAAGGAGGAGAAGGAGATAGATTGCTGTGAATAAAGTCCTGAAAACTGCTGCAAGAAGAGCTCCGGATGTTGCGTTTTTCCTTGCGGGACGAGGGTGGACGTGACAATTGGTGGCCTCGTACGGGGAACCTCCAAACCTCTCTCCGTGGAGCCCAGAACTTGCTGCAGGGGGTGTAACGGTAAGATTGAGGAATCGCAATAAATGCGGGTTTTATGCTCTCACCTGTAGAAAAGGTAGAGCGGGAAAGTATAGCCACGACCAAAGTGGACGGTTTAAAATGAAACTAAAAGGAAGGACGGGAGTTTAGAATGGGCGCTTCAACATCACACCTGATTTTTCTGGCTCTTAACGAGCTGTTACTGAGTGCATTGGAGAGGTTTTTGGCTAAATGTGACACAATTGCACTTTGGTTTGCCGTCTCTGGCAATATTAATGTGTCATCCTGGGATAAGCCTGGTAGAGATCTGGATTTTGCCGCTGAACAAGGTACGCTAAGGAAGGGAGGTATTTTCATGTGGTTTGAATTACCGAGGCCTCCAGTGGAGTGTAAGCAGCTGCAGCTCCAAGACCAAGGAGCTCCAGGCGGCTCCAAGGCCAAGCAGCACTGAGGGTCTGGAAGCTGCAAACACCAGGACCTGCCTTGAAGATCACAAGGCCAGAACGCTAGGCCACTCCCAGCGTGGGCCTCAGGGCGCAGAAGCGCAGCACTGTCGGGTAAGATCTGTTGGCCTGAACCTCTGTCCCAGCCCGGGGCAACCAGCCAGGACCAGGGTCGGGCTGGCCGCTCAACAGCCAAGCCTCCACCTAACAGTTCGGTGGGGAGGAAGTCTCGCCTCTCCCCTGCCTTTGCTGCGACCCGAGTTCGAGCTTGGCTGGAAAATGGCAGTAGATTGTAGTAAATACCTTTAAGAATGCAACGTCCCCGCTCAGCAGGAAGTAGCCAGACGGACTGACAACGCCCAAATTCCCTAAAACACGGTTTAAGCGGGGCCATTTCAGAGCAGAAGCAGGATCAGCTGGGTTGCTAGGGAAGCCGAAGAGGTGCACTAGGGAGGTGTCTTCCATGCACTCAGCTGACAGGAATAAATGAGCCACGGGGGTATGGTAGCTGGGGTATGTTATTTAGGGGACTGCTGAACTGCTCCTGAGGTTATGGCAAAGCTACTCCTAATGACAGGAGCAGGCAGAGGAAAGCCAGGGAGGGGAAAGCAAGATTGCCTCCCCTTCCTCTCCTCTGTGCTGGCCCCTCTGCTACCAGTTCTGACTGCCCTTGCTGCTACCGCAAGCACAGCCGCAGCTGTGGCAATTGGCTCAGCTTGGCTGTGAATGGAAGTATCTGGGGTGGTTGTGTGTGATATGAAAAATTTAAAGAATTGTCTAGCTATCTTTTAGGTAATTGGTCTGGTGAATTCGAACAACAACTGGAAAAGTTGCGGGTGACGATGGTGACTGCAGATTCTACACGCATGGATACCAGCCTGGCAGAAGAACTATCCTCCTGGATCACTCCATGGATCATCTAAAGGAGTGGGCGGGAGTAGGAGCCCTAACAAGGCTTAATGGTGCTTGCCTCCCTGGTATGCCTGTGGTGCATCTGTCACATAAGGGTTTCACAGCATTGCAATGCAGTTATGATCATTCAGGCCTTCACGGCCATTGAAACAGGACAGTCTCCCCAAGTTTGGCTAGAGATGTAAGAGCAAGTCTGATTGCATGTGGGTTGGTGTCTAACTCCCACCTCTGTAAAAAGGCACCGGACAGGTCTAGTGTTCTGAGTGGATGACACCTGGACAAACACTAGTACATGTTCCATTTTTAACAGAGATCAGACCTCTACTCTTTCTTGCCTGTTGCTTTACAAAACAAAAGGAGGAACTGTAGCGAGCAGAGTGGTGTCACACCTGATGGAGATGTATAATCAACTCCTGAGATGGCTAAGGCCTGACCTATGCTATGATCACGCAATGATTATCAGCTGCCTGCATATGCGTGGGCCTATGGGCAGTGCCCACCTGACAGTTCGGGGTTGGCAGCCCATGCCTACTTAAGGGCTGGGAGAGGTTTGCCCAGAGAGAGAGGGTAGAGAGAGAAAGAGAAGGAGAAGGAGATAGATTGCTGTGAATAAAGTCCTGAAAACTGCTGCAAGAAGAGCTCCGGGTGTTGCGTTTTTCCTTGCGGGACGAACGAGGGTGGACGTGACACCCACGTCTTCTCTAGACCATCAGGACATATTTTTTTGTTTGTTTTTTCAAGACATGGTTTCTCTGTGTAGCCCTGGCTATCCAGGAACTCACTCTGTAGACCAGGCTGGCCTCAAACTCATAGAGATCTGCCTGCCTCTGCCACCTAAGTGTTGGGATCAAAGGTGTGCACACCACCATCACCGCCCAGCTTGGAACTGGAGGGATAGATGGTGTGAGCCATCATGTGGATGGTGGGAACCAAACCTGTGTCCTCTGCAAGAGCAGCAAGTGCTCTTAATTGCTAGGCCATCTCTCCAGTCCTTTCTCAGTAAGGGTTCTGAGGATTGTACCTTTAGAGCTGCCAGGTGACTCTGGGGCCAACCAGTTTGAGAGCAACACTGACTAGTTCATTACTAAATATTCTCATCTCTGCTACTCTCAAAAGCCTGAAATTTTCCCAAGAGCAGAAACCAAATGTCCTTCCTGAATAACAAAATGTCTCCAAAACTTGGGGTGTAGTTTGGCAATAGAACGTAAGGCCCCGGGTTTAGTTCCTAACACCAAGAAAACAAAAGAAACGCCCACTGCATACAAAGCCTTACAGACATGCATGGCTGTATTGACCCGTCTGTAATGCCCACTGCATACAAAGCCTTACAGAACATGCACGGCTGCCCTGACCTGTCTGGGCCTGGTCTCCCCATACATAACAGGAGCACCTGAAGGGCATCTGTTCATCAGTGAGTGTCCCTATCTATGGACATGCAAGTGCAAGTGTGGGCTTCAAGTGACTGTCTTGTGCTGCAGCCACTACACATCACCCACCCAGTTAGCAAGATGTGGGCAAATCAGCCACCAGGTGGTGCTAGTGGGCCGGACCGAACCCCATCAAAAGCTATCCAAGCAGGCATTTCACCACCTAAGCAAAGGTTACCCATCCAGTGCGGAAGTACAGGATCCAGCCTGGCTGTCCCTCACAACAGGCAGAGCACCACCAGAGGTTATGGACCCCTCAGGGGAAGGTGCACAAAAGCCCCAAGGAAAAATATGACGGTCAGGTTGTCTTGGAGCCACAGAGATGCTCCTGATTCCTGAGATGCGTCCACTATTGGGGGGAGGGGATTGCTTTGTTTTCATTTGTTTGGGTAGGTTTTTCTGTTGTGGAGGTGGTGGTTTGGGGCTTTTTGTTGTTTTTGAGATGGCATCTAACTGTGTAACCTGGCTGTCCTGGAACACACTCCGTAGACTAGACTGACCTTGAAGTCACAAAGATCCACAGGCTCAGCCTCCTGAGTGCTGAGATTAAAGACATGTGCTATCTCACAGGGCCAATTTTTTAATTAACTAATTAATCTAAATGGCCACATGGAGATACTGAGTGCCATAACGGACAGTATGGGCCAATAGGACCGTAGTCCCTGAAGGTGGCTCTAACTTTACTCAAAGGAGCCAAGAGTGCAACCGTTCTAGAGAAAAGAAAGGTCCATTCCTGAGGAATGGCTGAAGACCACCTCGTCCACACACAAAACCCTTTATCAAGGCAACACCGCAGTTATCTTTCCCCAGGGCTGTGTAAACCTGTGAGGGGATGCAGACAGCTCTATGCCTCCAGCATGCAGGTCTCCACATACCCGGTGGTAGAATGCTCCGCTGGCTGTGTTTTCTCTAAACTCCCAGGTCTGTCCTGCAGCATCCGCCATTCCCCCACACCACCACGTCAGAAGTCCAGCAGTTTCTCTCAGGCTCAGGTCTCCCACTAGAGTTCCACTAACTCTGCCTCTTCCAGATTACAGCAATCACGGATTGCCTGAGTCTGCCTGCCTACCGTCTAGACCCCAGAAGCCACTGCTGCTCTTAGGCTTTCCCAAGTGAAGGGCCCTCCCTACCCCACTGGGCTGGCCAGTCTCCCTCCTAACAGGCAGGGGTATAAGCCTGAAGGGCTACCATGGCCTTCCCTGAATTCATCCTCATCTCACTTCAGCAAACTGACAGGAATTATCTGAACTCAGGGCCTCACACGTGCTAGACAGACACTCTGCCACTGAGCTATGTCCCCAGATCCCTTTTCACTTCTAGCTTGAGACGGGGTCTTACTAGTTGCCCAGAGTAGTGTTGAACCCATAGTCCAGGTGGACCTTGAACCCATTCTCCCACTGTTTCTGTCTCCTGAGTGTCTTCAATTACAGGTCTGTGACACCAGGCCTGACTAGGGTTCTTACTGACACTTTTTTCCTGTGTGGTTACTTTTCATGGCCTATTTTTTACATTACACCACAGGATCCCTAAGCCCAGCACAATGCCTGGCACACAGGGGCTGGGCAGGATCAGCAGCCTGGGGCTTACGGTGAGGACAGCAAAGGGCAACACTTACGCGATCTGGAGTGCCCGGGTGCCCAGCACACGGGCTCGCTCGTACTTGGTCATGTACGGGGTGGTGATGCGCTTCTGGTTGGCCTGCGGTCGCTCACCAGAGGGGAGAATCTCAACATTCTCCTGACCTTCCTGGATAGAAGAAAACAGAGGGGACATCTCAGGGTGAGTTTTGGGTCAGAGAGGAAGATGATGACAATGACCTCACCACCACCATTAACACTTTCTGGATGTCAAGGACATCTACTAATGCCCCATTCCTTCCATTCCTTACTACCCCGTGAGGAATAGGCGGGAATCATGGTCCCTATTATTCCAAGGGCTTCAAGAGCCAGCCAACCTGACCAAATTCTCCAAACCAGCAGTAAAGAAGACTCTGGTCAGGACTCCAGAGCCAGCTGCCCCACCGAAAAGAAGGCTGGTCCTGTAAGTGATGAGCACACCCTAAACGGGAAGTTGCACAAATACCAGATCTTTCACGGGTGGCAACTGAGTCAATGGGTCGAGTGGCAAGGACAGTCATGGTAAGAAGAAAGAGTCACCACCCATACTGAGCAACAACTTGCCACACATACTGTCCAGGCTAGCCCTGGGTTCCACCCTCTGCTCCAAACATACGCATGCACACAAGCACACATACACACACACACCTGGGTTCCATCCTCTGCTCCACACACACGCATGCTCACAAGCACACACACACCTGGGTTCCACCCTCCGCTCCACACACATGCACAAAAGCACATACACACACCTGGGTTCCATCCTCTGCTACACACACACACACACACACACACACACACACACACACATAATAATCCGCCAGCATGGCCACAGATGCTGAGGTACTAAGCAAAGGGTTTCTGATAGCAGAGTCTTGACCTAGAGGAGAAAACAGAGGCACAGAGCACCAGCTGCTGCCAGGATCGTGCACAGCCTGTGATGAGAGTTTACAGGATTCTGAAACCAAGAATTCGAACTTAGGGTATGGCTCAGACAGGAAAGAGCTTGCTGCCCAAACTGGAGGACCTAAATTTGGATCCTTAGTCTCCATGTAAGACTCTGGGTATATAACAGTGTGTGCATATAACCACAGACCAGGAGGTAAGAAGAGAAAGATTTCTGGGGCTTGCTGACTGACATCTAGCTGACGCAGTGAGTCCCAAGCTCAGGGAGATCCCATCTTGAAAGAGAAGGTGGAGACCGTAAGAGGATGACCGCTGAGAGTAGCTCTGCCCCTCCACCGCACTACACAGTGAGTGTACCGCACACAGACACGCAAGTGCACATGCACGAAAAAACTTTTTTTTAAATATTTATTTATTTATTATGTATACAATAGTCTGTCTGTATGTCTGCTGGCCAGAAGAGGGCACCAGACCCTCAACAGATGGTTGTGAGCCACCATGTGGTTGCTGGGAATTGAACTCAGGACCTTTGGAAGAGCAGGCAATGCTCTTAACCTCTGAGCCATCTCTCCAGCCCAAAAAAACTATTTTTTTAAAAGATAAAAATTGTGGGGGCTGGAGAGATGGCTCAGCAGTTACGAGCACTAGCTGCTCTTTCAGAGGACCCGGGTTCAATTCCCAGCACCCACATGGCAGCTCACAACCATCTGTAGCTCTAGTTCTAGGGTAATCTGACACCAATACACAGAAAATAAAGTTAAATAAATTAAAAATAATAATGATAATAATAAAATAAAAACTGTTTGCCGAGTGCTTGCTACAGGCCCCGAGGTATTCTAAGTGTTTGGGGTAGAGCAGCAAATGAAAGGGAGCAAAGCTGTTCCACCTGGGCCCACGCCCTATTCAGCACGCAGGCGGCACAGACAGGCTGGTTGCTGTGAGCTAGAGGCCAGCCTGGTTTAAACAGCTGAGTTCTAGGGCTATCTACCAAGAACAAGTCTAAAAAAACCCATTCATAATAAGATACAACAATCCCAAGACCAAGCTAAGGTCTAGCTCATGCAAAGGCCAAGAGTGTATCTGTAAACTGGGTAGTGGTGGCGCACGCCTTTAATCCCAGCACTCAGGAAGCAGAGACAGGTGGATCTCTGTGAGTTCGAGGCCCGCCTGGTCTACAGAGCGCGTTCTAGAACTGGCTCCACAGTTACTGAGAAACCCTGCCTGTATCTGTGGGAGACACGTCCCTGGAAAAGGGAACAGCGAAACCGTTCGGCAACCATCACCCACCCCGCTGTCTAGTGTCCGGGCTGCAGTGCAAGAAGCTGAGGGCTGAGGGGGGCTACTGACCTCCTCGGCATTTTCCAAGTCATCTAGTCCTTCGTCCTCCTCCACATCGTCAAAGTCATCGCCATCAAAACTAAGCCAGAAGAAACAGCTGGTTAGAGCGTCACCTGCCAGAATCAGAGCCACAGCTCGGTGTATCAGGTGTGATGTAGGAGGGACCGCAAATCTCAATGAGGGAATCTCTGGCTTCGCTGTATGCCTTCAATCTTGTCCCGTCTGCCCCCCAATTTTGCTAGGACTTGTTCACCACTGTTCCCCTCTCTATGAACTACTGCGATCAGCTCGTAACAAAGTACTTTTCTGGTCTGAGGACTTTTTTTTTTTTTTTTTCAGTTTTTCGAGACAGGGCCTGTCCTGGAATTAGCTCTTGTAGGCCAGGCTGGCCCCAAACTCACAGAGCTCTGCCTGCCTCTGCCTCCCTATGTGTTTGTGTGTGTGAATGTGAGTGTACGCACGAGTGTGCAGATGCCTGTGGAAGCCAGAAATGGGGTGTCAATTCCCCTGAAGCTAGTATTGCTCAACACGGTACCAGGAGCAGAGCTTTCACTCCCTGGACAAGCAGCAGTGCTGGTGATCACTAAAGCCATCCTCCAGTCTCCAGTGCAGGACAAGCCCCACCCCCATGTAGAGGGGGAAGCTATACATCTGTGAGTGTGATGCTACACTCCCATACTCCTAGCATTTGGAATGGAGGAGGAGGCGCAGAAGTTCAAGCCCAGCCTGGGCTATCTATATAGGGAGATGCTGTCTCAGGAACAAAAACAAAATTTACTTCAGGGCTGGAGGTGTCGCTAAAGTAGTGTATACACAGCATGCACAAAATCCCTGGGCATTAATTCCCAGCAGAGAACATTACCACGATCACCCTACCCCTGAGGTGAAATGACGACTGTGAAGAGAAGATAATCTAACCTCGGTGAGACTTCCACCACGCCCCAAGCTCTGCTGCTCACTGATTACTTTTTTGTTCTGTTTTCTTTTTTTTTTTTTTTTTTTAATTTTTCGAGACAGGGTTCTCTGTGGTTTTGGAGCCTGTCTGGAACTAGCTCTTGTAGACCAGGCTGGTCTCGAACTCACAGAGATCCGCCTGCCTCTGCCTCCCGAGTGCTGGGATTAGAGGCGTGCGCCACCACCACCCTTTTGTTCTGTTTTCAAGGCAGAATTTCTCTGTAGACCAGGCTGGCCTCGAACTCAGAGACCCGCCTGCCTCCGCCTCCCGAGTGCTGGGATTAAAGGCGTGCACCAGTCAGCTTCACTAATGATCTTTTCCTTGCTAACTCCTTCCCAGTCTCACTCGTCTTCGGCCAACAGCTGGCACATCTGGCTCCTCCCTCCTGCTTCACACTCAGGGGGAGCACCTCCTCAGCCTTTCCTGGGTTCCCCCTTTTCCCCAGTCACTCACTAGCCACCTCCTCTCTAGGGGTCCACACAACCCTGGTTGACACACACGTCTCTGCTTTCACTGTATTTTTCCTGCGTTTTGTCTGCTTGCTTCTGAGACAGCGTCACTCTGTACACTATGTGACTCAGGCTGGCCTGGAACTCGCTACGCAGCACAGACTGACATCTGTTCACAGCAATCCTCCTGCCTTAGCCCCCCCCCCCCAGTGCTAGGATTACAGGGGTATGCCCACCATATCCAGCTTCTATTTCTGAGTTTTGACAGCTACATCTATTTTAGGACTCCCATAGTTTATCTTCTCTTTTGACCTAACACATGCAGCCATCAGGAAATCCTCTTGGCTCTATTTTAAACTATATCAGCAGCCAGGCATGGTGGCACACCCCTATACTCCCAGTGCTCAGGAGGCAAAGGCGGGCGGATCTCCGTAAATTTGAGGACAGTCTGATCTACACAGTGACTTACAGGACAGCTAGGGCCATGTAGACAGACTCTCTCTGTCTCTCTAAAAAAAAAAAAAAAAAAAAAAAGAGGAAAATATATCCAGGAACTGGACATGGTGACATAGACCTATAAATCCCACTGTTCTGGAAGTAGAGGCAGGTGGATTTTTTTAGGTTTGAGGCTATCCTGGCCTACACAGTGAGTTCCTGGACAGCCAAGGCTACATAGCTGAGACTTTCTCTCTCTCTCTCTCTCTCTCTCTCTCTCTCTCTCTCTCTCTCTCTCTCTCTCTCTCTCTCGTATGTGTGTCTGTATGTGTATATGTGAATACCATCTCTCTCTCATATATGTGTCTGTGTATAAGTGTGAGTGTATACCAGGGGCCAGGCATAGTGGTTCACGCTTTAATCCCATCATTTGGAAGACGGATTGCTAAAGTGGAACCACCTGGTATACAATGAGATTTGGTCTCCAGATAAATAAAATAAATATATATCCAGAGTTCAGCCCACTTCTGGCCACCTATGCTACAGGCCCGCGCCTGCTCCCAGCCTCCCAGGCCATCTCTGGATAGCTTCTTCCTATTTCTACGACTACACGAACTACACCACCGGCATTCCCTTCCTGAAAGGGGGTGCCCAGAGGGCTTAACTCCGCACACTGTCCCGGGAGCATTGCTCCGCGAGGTAGGAAGTTCTCAAGACTTCACCCCCACAGACCCCGTAGCTGGGCTAGCCTGTGCTCCAAGCACCCAGCTCGCACCACGAAGTCCTCCCCTCCGAGCCCGCGCTCACTTGTCTTCGTTGTCTGACATGATGCCTTCACCGCACTGATGGCTCGGGACCGCACAAGAGTGAACCGCGCGCTTCAGTCGTCCCCGGCACTACCCGCGGTCTGCGCCTGCGCCGTGACCCAAAAGCAATCACTTCCTGGAGGCAGTCAAGAACGTGACGCGAGTGCGCACGCGTGGGCGTGTACGCTAGTTACCGTAGTAACCAGATGCACTTGGTGCGGGCCCTAACACACTGGCTTCCCCGAGGATCTCCTTCAGGAGGGCGCTGCCACGCTTAGGGTGAGCGCTCCGCCCGGGACCGTCCCGATGGGGACTGTGTTCACTGCACGGTCCGGAGCCGAGGGTTCGGGCACCAGCTTCTCAGATACCCAGGGTGCTGGCGATGAGAGGTCGGGACTGCGACGCGAGGGCTGGTCATTGCTTCTCTCCCTCCTAGGGCCCTCCCATGGCTTCACAGGAGAGGGTGGGCGCAGTGTCCAAAGGAACCGGGTTCCGGCGCTGCCCTAAGCAGGTCACTTACACCCCGGGGACCTGCGAGCTGCTCAGAGGTCAGTGCTTTACAGGAGAGGTGGTGATTTCTTTAAGACACTGGGATAAAGAAAAGTTCAGGAGAGGACCAAAGTCCAAAGGACGGAGAATTTTGGGGTGGTTACCTCATCTTTTACATTGCACGTTCAATGAAACCTAACTTCTCCTCACCACAGTGAAAACTTCCAGTACCAAATCCAATTGCCTTCCCTGGGCTTAGCACAATATATAGTCCGTCTTATAGGCTTTTGGTTTCCCAGATATCACCTTAAAAAAAATTATTTATTTATTATGTATACAACATTCTGCCTCGATGTATGCCCGCACACCAGAGGAGGGCGCCAGATCTCAGTACAGATGGTTGTGAGCCACCTTGTGGTTGCTGGGAATTGAACTCAGGACCTCTGGAAGAGCAGCCAGTGCTCTTAACCTCTGAGCCATCTCTCCAGCCCCTCACCTTTTTTAAAAAAAGATTTATTTCTTTTTATTTTTTGTGCATTGGTGTTTTGCCAGCATGTATACCTCTGTGAGGGTGCCAGATTCCCTGGTACTGGAGTAACAAACAGATGTGAGCCCCGTGCAAGTGCTGGGAACTGAACCCAGGTCCTCCTGAAGAGCAGCTGGTGCTCTTCACCGCTGAGCCATCTGTCCATCCCTACAGCCAGCACCTTCTAAATGGTGAATGCCCCCAGGCAGAGAAAGTGCCTGTTTCTACTCACAGTTGTGGCGCCAGCCTCTGATACATGGATGAGCATATATACATTCATTTATCCAACAACTAAAACACCTGATATGTGATTTTCATATTCTCCTACATACTGGAAGTAAAGTGTTAGGGGATTGCAGAAAAGCAAACAATTCTTGCTTCCATAGAGCTAACAGTATAGGAGGTTAACAAGAAAAAATTATAGAGCTGGGGTGTAGCTCAGTAACATGTATGCTAGGCATACATGAAGCCTGGGTTTCGATCTCAGCACAGGACACACAAAAATGTTACAGTTGGAAAAGTCGGCTCAGTGGTTAAGAACGTGTATTGTTCTTCAAGAAGACTCGAGTTCCCATATTAGCCAAAAAAAAAAAAAAATGTGTATGTCTTAGGCAGATATAATGATATGCAAGTTTGCCGCTTGAGAGGATTGCCTGAGCCAAAAAAAAAAAAAAGACTGGTCGGGATAATTAGATAATTAGTAATACCCTGTCTTTAAAATAAAATACAATAAAGGCTGTAGAGATAGCTCAGAGGTCACTTGCTGCAATTATGGAGGACCCAATTCAATTCCAACAAGCATGTCAGGTGGCCTGAAACCACCGTTAGAGGTTCCGTGCCTTTTTCTGGCCCCCACAGGCACCCATACACACATAGACATACTCATGCACACACACACAAAATCTTAAAGCCGGGTGGTGGTGCACGCCCCTAATTCTAGCACTCGGAAGGCAGAGGCAAGTGGGTTTCTGAGTTTGAGGCCACCCTGACCTACAGATGGAGTTCCAGGACAGCCAAGACTACACAAAGAGACTCTGTCTTGAAAAAACAAAACAAACAAACAAACAAACAAATAAATAAATAAATAAATAAATAAATAAAAGCCTTAAAAAAAACTTTTTTAGGTGGGCAGTGGTGGTACATGCCTTTAATCCCAGCACTCTGGAATCAGAGACAGGTAGATTTCTGTAAGTTCAAGGCAAGCTTGGTCTACAAGAGCATATTCCAGGACAGCCAGAGCTGTTACACAGAGAAACCCTGCCTCGAAAAAACAAACAAAAAAGACTTTTTAAAAAAAATCCATAGGCCGGGCGGTGGTAGCGCAGGCCTTTAATTCCAGCACTCAGGAGGCAGAGGCAGGCAGATCTCTGTGAGTTCAAGTCCAGCCTGGTCTACAAGAGCTAGTTCCAGGACAGGCTCCAAAGCTAAAAACAAACAAACAAACAAACAAAAAAACCTGTCTCGAAAAACAAAAAAAGAAGTAAAGAAAGAAAGAAAGAAAGAAAGAAGGAAAAAAAAAAAGAAATCCATATATAGTGGCTTATGACTTTAACCCCAGCACTCTGGAGACATAGGCGAGTGAGTTTGAGGCCTGCTCAATGAATATACCATGTTTCAGAACAGCCAGGCTACACAGTAAGACCCTTCCAATAATAAATAAATAAATAAATAAATAAATAAATAAATAAATAAATAAATGGATAGATGAATATATAGAAGAAAAAGAAAAAAACTAAAAATGTGACATGCACTAGAGAAAATGGAGCAGGCAGAAGAACATGCGTGCTTAGTTGGGAGTTGGGGAGCAGTGCTGCAGTGTGGAGTTTGGGCAAGATGAGACATGCTGAGACGTGGGGGAGATGCGGGGTTCAGCTGCAGCTCAGGAGGTCTCACAGTGTTTTATTTTGCAGTGATGATGAAGGAGTCCAAACTGACTAACTTCCAGCAACGACACATCTTGGACACCATGAGAAGTAAGGACAGTCACTCTAGAGACTTCCTGGACAGAGGACCAGGGATATATCTTTAATATTCCTCTATGTGAAAGGGAAGGGGAGTTCATCTCAAAGGACAGAGATAAAGCCAGACATGATTATATACACTTCTAGTCCAGCACTTAGGAAGCAGAGGCAGCCCACAAACTACACGGAAACCTAATCATGGAAGTTCAGCCAAGGGCTTGGGCTTGCCCCTCTAGCTCTATTCATCTACATGCTGCCACACGACTTGTGCCTTTCACCTCTCCTCTGCATCTGGTTGGTGACTCTGCCCTCTTCTCTGCAGCTCTCTGTCCAGAAGTCCTGCCTATACCTCCTGCCTAGCTATTGGCCATTATCTTTTTATGAAACCATTCACACTGACACATCTTCACACAGTGTAAAGGAATACTGACCAGCCAGTGGTAAAGAATACTTAGTACTCTTGCAGAGGTTCTGGGTTCAGATCCCAGCTCCTACATGGTGCCTCACCCCCATCTAAACTCCAGTGCGAAGTGATCCTCTCCTGACTCCTGTGGGCACCAGAAGAGGTTCATATATGGTATACATTGATATGTGCAAACAGTCATAGACATAAAATAAAAATAAGTTCACCTTGAAAGACAAGTCTTCCTTGAAGCTGTTCCCTAGGAATTCACTGTCTACTTTTCCTTAAGCAAAACACTGTTTCATAGCTTGGTTGAAGCCACAGATCCCTCTCCCTGATATGAATGTCCAGCATCACTGAGGCTGTAACTATTTGCTTGCTCAGGGGAGAGGCAGACCTGGGGCATGGGATCATCTTGAGAATGGTATCTGCTTGGTTCCATGAAGGGAAGGCAGTGGGGGAGTGGGGAGTAAAGGCAGGCACACACTTGTAAGCCCACAGCACAGAAACCCAGTCATCCTTGACGGCCCTTGTTCTCCCTCCTACCTGGTCAACAGCCCTGCAAGCTACAACCTGACCCTGATAACCTGTCTTCCCTGCTCCTCACCAATGCTGCATGTTATCTGAATAGCTGTTTTCCTTGACCCTACCCTTGGCCATGAATGGGAACTTTCAACAGCAGAAAGGGTAACTTTCCCCCAAACCCTCCTACGGCTTGCTACGCTATAGAATAAAATCCTCTTTCCAGAACCTTCCATAAGTCCTGATCTCTGTCTCCCACCCCATTAGCCTCTTGGCTGCTACCTAGATACCTGGGTACACGGTGCCTGAGCGCCTTCACCCCAGCTGTTCTACCTGGAACAGTCTTCCTCAAAGTAACTGCAAGTCTAGCTCATCACCCTTCACTGTCTGCTCAATGTTACCCTTTTACAAAAGCTTTCCCTGTTACAACCACAATCTGGGCTGCAGTTTTGGCTCAGTTGGTAGAGCCCTTGCTTCAGATGCACCAAGCCCTGATGCATTCCAGCACCACAGAAACCAGGTGTGGTGGCAAATACCTACAATCCATGCACTTGGAAGATAGAGGCAGGAGGATCAAAAGTTTAAGGTCTATATGGAGTTGGGAGGCCAGTCTGGATAGACCCTGCCTTTAAAATAAGCAAAAACTGCCAGGTGGTGGTGGCACACATCTTTAATTCCAGCACTCGGGAAGCAGAGGCAGGTGGATCTCTTTGAGTCTGAGGCCAACCTGGTCTACAGAGCAAGTTCCGGGCCAGGCTCCAAAGCTACAGAGAAACCCTGTCTTAAGAAAACAAACAAAACAAACAAAACAAACAAAAAACAACATCAAAAAAGCAAAAAACAAAACACAGGGCTGGTGAGATGGTAAAGCAGGGAAAGGTGCTTGCTGCCACGTGTAACAATCTGAATTTGATCCCTGGGACACACATGGTCAGAGAGAACTGATTCCTACAAGTTGTTCCCTGACCTGTACACATACACAGACATGCATGCACACAGCACATTAAAGCAAAAACCACACACAGAGAAATAAAAACACCACACCAAAGACTCAGTGTATAAGAATGTTTATTGCAGCATTTTCAGAAGTAGTAAAAATCCAACCAACAAAAACAAAACAAACCCAGAGAGAACCTGAATGACTAGCTGAATAAATAGTGTAATCATTCTAACAACTAGTAGATTACTATAAAAAATAAGTTACATATAAATGTGTCTTTATGGAAAGTTGGTCATGATAAATTGGTAAGTGAAAAGGGTCTGTTATTGACCATACAGTGTGATCCAGTGTTTAAGAACCGTTTGTGTACATATTGAACAAAAAACATCCTTGAATGTGTTTTAGAAGCATCAAGAACAGGGAGCGACCACCTAATTGTTAGCACAGCCTGTAGAGGAGCAGGCTCGGAGGGCTGGACTGTCCACACTGTTTGACTTCTAATTGGCAAATACCATTTCTCTTCGAAAAGAAAGACAAACAGGTGCCGTCACTTGACCTTTTTGTTCCAGGAGGAGCCCCTCTGCCCCTGCAGTGCAACCCAACATCCAGCCAGAGGGGCTCTCCTCCCAAGAAGCCAGCTACAACCATCTACCTGCCTCCCATCCTGGCTACCCACTCCCACCTCCGGCCTGCCAGCATGTGTCAAGCCAATGGGGCATACAACCATGAGCAATTCAAGCCTCAGGCCACCAGTAAGTGATGGATGGTCTTGGGCTAGGGGCTCTCTTCTGTCTTCTGGGGTCACAGAAGCCTGGGACAGACAGCACCATTCCAGTAGTGGGTAACAAAACCCAGACAGATAGCCCTCTTCATCCTATAGCTTTTTTCAAATTAATCCAGTTTTCCTAATCCTAATCCCAGAGGGATACATGGTCCCTCAAGTTCATCTCCTCTGTATTTGAGCCCGCATCTGGGACCCCCTCCTCCTGGCCTCTAGTACTGCTTTTGGCCCAGATGCCCCGGGATCCTCACAATTCCCTACACACAGGTCACCTCGGAGGCCTGCATTTCTGGATTCTCTGTTAGCTCTGCACTGAAGCTTTTTCTTGGTTGTCTCAACTGCTAACCTGCCATGATCTGCTCTGGAACAGCCAAGGGAGGTGCTGGATCTGCAGAGTCAACTCCTCTCAACCCCAACACTCAGCGTGTAAGGGAAACAACTACTCTTCCCTCTTAACAAGACCATCTCTGGGCCCTACAGGAGATCTGGAGAAGGAGAAACGAAGACTCCAAAATATCTTTGCCACTGGGAAGGACATAGAGGAACGGAAAACGGCTCCACATGTGCAACAAGAGGACCCAGCTCCCGAGGTGGACCGGTTTGAAGAATGTGAGTGTGTGTGTGTGTAGAACTGACTACACAAGAGAACAACATGACTTGCTATAGACCCCCTCCCCCACCCCGCCCCGCTCTCCCTCAGAGGCCATGTGCTGGCTGGGCCCCTGTGCACTCCCACTGTCCTGTGCACTGATGGCCCTTCCCCTCTGTGCAGTGGTGAAGGAAGTCCAGGACAGGAAAGAATTCTTGGCTGCCATGGAGGCTCTGGGACAGGGCAAGCAATACCGAGGAATCATCCTGGCTGAAATCTCCCAGGTAGGAAAGCCCAAAAGTGGGGAAGAGTAGAGTCAAATGGGAGGAGCCCCAGCCAGCACCACAGCTGGCCTTTCAGGTGGCAAGCTCCCACCATGGTGTCCTGCCATGACAGCCATCTTCCTGGTGGCCCTTTGCAGAAAATAAGGGAAATGGAGGACATCGACCGCAGCAGAAGCGAGAGGCTCAGGAAGGCTCTGGCCACCACCTAATCCTAGACAAGGGCGGGCCAGCCCAGTGTGACCACCAGAGCCTTCGCTTTGCCAAGCAGTGTCGTCCCCAGGTCTGCCCACCCTCAGAGACCACGCCAGATCATGATGTTGCACTGCCCAGGGATGCAGAGGCCTCAGTGACGCCTCTGAGTCACTGTCACAGCCACAGTGTTGGCACCTTCTTCAGGGGAAAGAGCCCAGACATACCATGGACATCTGCCTCTCTCTGGCTCTTCCCACACCACAGCTGTCCTCCAGGTGCTCTGTGAACATGATTCTGTCCTTCCTGTATCTTAGGATCTGTTTCTTTGCCTTCTTGTAGCCTTGGGCAAATGTTTGACCACAATGATTAATTGGCCAATAAAACACATTTAACTTGGCCATGACATGTGCCGCCTTGTTTACACAGGAATAAACACATTTAATCTGTTCAGAATCAGAACCCGTCCAGCGCACATGGGTTCTAACTGCTGTTTGCACATTTCCAGAGGAGCAGGGAAACAGATTCCTGAGCAGCCTGTCGTCAGTGCTAGCCCTCAATTCTGCGGTGTGAACACCCGTCTCACTAAGACACTCCATCCAGGTAGTTACTGCTGAGGGGCCCACTTGGGGTTAAAGGTCAACTTCATGACTTCCACCAAATGAAGACTAAGGAAAGAACCATAAAAGGAGGGATCCATACTAAAAGGGCTCTGGCAGGTGCCACAGCCTTGGTTCCAGTTCCATTCACGTGCTCCCGAGGTCCCAGCCTGAAGGTCAAGGAACTCAATAAGGAAACAGCCCTGCTCCCACCTGGTATGCCCTCGCTCCCCACAACTGGTTTACTGCACAGCAGTGTCCTTCAGGTTGTGACTCTGAACAGCCTGACCTCACTAGTATCCCATCATTTCCGTCTCTAGAAATGAAATACTTCCTGCACCTGCTACATATAATCTGTCTTCTTACTGAAGAATAACCATGGCTGTTACACAAGAGCCAGCAGATAGCATCAATCAGTAGGGACACAGCCTCCAGCCCAGGCCTAGCACACTGGAAAAGCCAGGGCAAGTGCTGCCTACAGTGGCAAACTCAAATAGATGGCAACATTTACAGATTATGCCTGTACAGAAACTGGATTCTGGGTTTCTTTTGAAAAGTGAGCAAGATGTGGCAAGCCTGTGCCCACATTCACAGGCAGCAGGTGACTTCTGTGAGGAGGGCTGGTCCCTGGAGACATGGGAACTATGATCAACACTGAGACAGCCTGGTGGAGCCCTCTCCTGGGTTACAGCAGCTGGGTCACAGGACCCTTCTGAAAAACCTGAGGTGGTGGCCTGGGCTCCAGGTCAACAGCGCATCTGCAAAGACTGCCAGGGGCTATATGGGAGTGCAAGCACCTCTCCCCAAACAAGAAGGGAATCCTGTCCCATGGGAGGCACTGTGGTCAAGTTCCCAACTGCGTGGACAGCCCAGCCCCTCCCAGGTGGCCAGACACCTGGCCAAGAGGTGGAGCACACACAGGCAAAAGGGCACAGATGTGGCTGTGGCCAAGGCTACTGGGCACTAGCAACTGAGAGACAGCGCACTCCTTCCCAGGATGCAGAGGGAGGGGCAGGCACTGAAGACGCCGAGAGCAAGAACAGTGCCTGGACCACAGGCTGCCTGGCATATTCCCCAGGGAAAACATGTACCCCAGCACTGTTCTCCCAGGGCCATCCAGGGGTGAATGCCACCAGTCCTCAGAGGGAACAGACAACCACACAAAGGAATGGGTCCATCCCCTGGGTATGGGGTGGGCAAAAACCCTGTATCAGAGGTCAGATCACAACACCTTAGAGAATAAAGGTTAGCACCTACCAAAATCACACCTTTCTAGGCTAGTCTGAGTCACCACCTCAGCACAACCACCAGGTCCTCATGTTGTGGGTGAGACTTCCCATGAACCAAGAGAGGTAAGGGAAGAGCCCCCTACAGCTTGGGAGGAAGAGGAAAGCAGTTCATTCCCAACTGACACAAAACAGCACTCACTGAGGGGCCAGAATCTGAGACTTCATAGAGCTCCTGAGTGAGGGGACATGACTTCACGACTTTCAAGGGCACGTGTGTTGGAGACAGGAAGGCAGAGACTAGACTTTCAAGGGCACGTGTGTTGGAGACAGGAAGGCAGAGACTAAGAGTCAGGGCTGAGAAGGAAGAAGTTAGGCAGCCAGCCTTGTTGCTGGCCTGCTGCAAGGTGCACATGTCGTGGCCTGAGCCTGCCTTGGGCAGGACTGACAGTGAAGACTCCATCTGGCCTGGTTCAGAAGTACAAGGAGAGTTACTGCCTCTGCCTAGTCCCTGCATCCCTGCTTGCGCCTGGGCCTGTCACAGCATCTGGAGTCAGAATCCGAGTGGGCAGGGCTAAATCACAGCTGTCTGGGACACAGGGAAGAAAGAGAGAAGAAAACTTCAGCCCAAACCAGCTGGAGACTCCCAAGGAGGCCAAAGCTCACCCAGGGACTCCCTCCCAAGGTCACTGTCCCCCTTGGCAGGTCTGAGGGCAGCAGAGTGCTGTTCTGGCCTGGAGGCTCCAGGAGAGGAGAGGAAGTCTGCTTCCTGCGCTGTCTGTCAGCTCTTGTCCGCAGGGACCTTGCTTTTGGTGTCACGCTTGTTTCCCAGCAGCTTCAGCACCTTCATGGTCTTGAACTTGCCTTTCTTCTTACCCTCGGACTCAGCCTCTCTTTGGAACTCTGCAGCAAAGAAGAGGGACCATCCGGGGCAGGATGGAGCAGTGGCCAGCGTCACTGAGCAGCTTCAGCCCATCCATGCACCAAGTCATGTCACTATGCCTAGTTCCCTTTTCTCCCTGGGATCCACACCTGGAGGACAGTCTGGAACCTGAGACAGTGGTGCTCAACCTGTGGTCGCATACTCTTCTACATATCAGATATTTATATTACGATTAATAACAGTAGCAAAATCACAGTTATCAAGTAGCAAAGAAATAATTTTATGGTTGGGGGTCACCAAAATATGAGGAACTGTACTAAAGGATTGCAGCATTAGGAAGGTTGAGAACCACTGTGAGGTATAGCTCACGTTTTAGTCGTGATCACCTAGACTGACGTACATTTCTCTGTAGGCTACAACAGAAATCTCAACTGCCAGGACTAAGGAACACCTCAGAAACCTCTGCCCCAAACCTCAAACTCTCACAAGGAAAATGTGTGCCTTTGAAAAGAACCAATACCAACCATGTGCTTGTAGGTGCCTAATCCCAGACTGGTGCTTTGCACCGTTAGCTCCATAACCCTCAGCCCACACCGGGGAGAAGCACCATGGCAATGGGAGTGAAGTGAGGGCTGAAGGAACTGGCTCAGCCACCAGCTCATGTTCGAGAAAGGACCAGCAGTCACTCTGGCTCCAGCTTCAGCCAAGATATAGCCATGAGGCCAAACAGTGAGCCACAGGTGGGACTAAGGTCAAACCCCAACCCAAACAGCTCTCAGGGAGCAACTCCAGGCACTCTGATCCTAGCTCTAGATTCCCATACCCCTAAGCCAACCCGCAGAGCTCTGGAAAGATAATCTGCTCAGAGCAAAGCCAACCTGGGTCAAGGCCCCCTGGTGGACCAGTCCTCCCCTCCCAGCCTGAACCAGAGCTGCATGGTTGTGACTGGCCTCACTACACTTGGCTTTCCAGCAAAATGGAGCCTGGAATTTGCATTATGACCAACCATCCCTATGGGGCCTGTTCAACCTTCTATTTCCAGGCTGCAAACATAGGCTGGCGTTCACAGGTAAGTACTGGTCCCTCCACAAGATGAGCCTCACCTTTCTTCCTCATCATAGCTTCCAACATCTTGTCTTCCTCTTCTTCCCTGGGGTGGAAATGACAAGCTGATTGACCACAGCAGGAAAGAGCCAGGTCACCCGTGAGCCCCTTCCAACCTTCAGGCCCCACAGGACTTGGCAAATGTGAGGGAAAGCTGGCAGTGAGGGCAGAGCTCTGCCAGGAAATGGCTCCACCTGCGGGGTCCCAAGCATGTCACCTCTGCCGGTCCTCATCCAGGCAGTTGACAATGGCATTGCGCTGCTCGATGAGGGTCACAAGCTCCTGCATCAGCACCTTTTCTCTGGCCCGATCCTCCTCTGTCCAGTCCTTTTCTGCCAAAGGAGAAAGCCGGGGTGAGTGGTGGGGACCCTCTTCCTCACAGTAACAGGACACACCACCTGAGTTCCCAGGAAGACAGCAGGTAACTATACTGTGGAATGAGTGGAGGGCCCAGAGTTGACACTCACAAGCTCTTAGAGAGATGGAAGCAATTCTAGAAAAAAAAAACAAGGACACCCGGAAGCCCACCAGAAAGCCTTCAAGAGACGCCCTGTAGAGGAAGAAACCCTCAAGGGCATCCTGCTCACCAAACACATCATTCAAGGATACCATGCAAGGCCAAGGTGCCCACCAAACACACTGTTCAAGGAGCTCGTGTAGGGCTAGCAATTCTCAAGGCTTCCTGCATATCAAACCCACTGTTCAAGATACCAAGCAGGGCTAGCACTCCCCAAAGCCTTCCTAACATTTGTTGGTGGCATCTTGAGAAAAGCTATTGGACTGGCTTGAGTGGACAGGGGTGGGAACGACAAGGAACTTCCAGAGGTCCACTTGCAGAAGCAGTATGGTCCCAGTCACGCAGAGGAACATGTTCCCAAGGCCTATAGGAGGGCACTGGGGACAGGAGCCCAGTCAGGAGGATCCCTGATGTCACTTCCAGCCTCTTCCCTCTTCTAGGCCCAGGGCTGCCTCACAAGACCACCGTCAGGGGCGCACTCATGTCTGTCTGGTTCCTCTCACCATCTCCAGACTCCAGAGCACCCACACCTGGTGTGCTACATACCTAGAAATAAACCTCCTGAAGCTACCCTTCCCCTATGACCTCACCTTGCCAAAACTGAGGGTCAGGAAGTCCAGCCCAGTTCTGGGGACAGAGTATGGCTTCACAGTCACCACCCAAGTTCCAATCCTGCTCTGCCTTTCTTCATCTAGAGCTTGGTAAATTATGCTTCTAATCTACACGGAGGGAAATTGAAGCTTTGAAAAACGAAGCCTTTGGTCAGCAATGGCCAGAGACGGTAAAGCCAAATTGAACCCAGGCAGCTTGACCGCCTATTTGGTATCTATGGACCGAACTCCCTCAGGGTCAAATAAACCAGCTTTATCTTCAAAAGCAGCATCAGGGGAAAGCTAAAGAGGACAGGGTTACAGCCACAGCCTTGGGGCTGATGGTTCATATCCACTCTCTCACACTGGGCTCCTGAGTGCTGGCCACACCCCCAGCTCCTGCTGACTTGGAAGTGACTCATGGTTGGCAAAGGACGCCTAGGACATTCTGTGACTTGGGGTTACTCCAGCGTTCGAATTCC